GAGTGGTGATATTTATTTTGGGTTTCAAAGTGATCTGAAATCACAATCGCAAAATTTTCGAAATTTCGGCTCTTTACGTTATACATGGTAATAATTTCAAATTTTGAAAATTTCGCAATAGGGATTTCAGATCACTTTGAAACCCAAAATAAATATCACCACTCGACTCAGCATGATTGATTATCCCTCTGAGGACTTATTCTCGGGTTATCCAACCTCAATCGGCCGAAATCGGAGTCTCAGGAAAAACCTTATAACTCTTTAACGGAGTGTGTTAGGGAGTTTGGCTTTGTCTTATTGCAGTNGCAGTCCATAAACAAATGCAAAAGCCTTCCAAAAGCAATGTTCAGAATCTCGAACAGGCACTCACCTGATTGGTCAATTGAGAACCAATCAAATTTTGAATTGTCTTTACTTTCCTCACATTACTCTTTCGAATGGTGAAAACCATAGCTCGCTAACTGTTTTCGTTCTCGAGTTATTTAAAAAACACTCGCGTTCATTTTATTTTGGTGACGATAGTAGTAGATGTATCATGTTTTTTTTGTGGCTTTTTTTTGTTAAATTTGCAAAAACAAGTAGTTTTCTTCCAAAGAAAATGCTTGTTCTTGCAAATTAAACAAAAAAAAACTTGAAAAAAACATGATACATCTACTAGTAAGAGGAAACCTAAAAATGAAAAAGCTTAATACTCTAATTTTTCGATACCTAAATGCGGACAGCTAAGATATTAATATTCGAGATATTCATCGAGGTGGAAAGGGTGCTAATCAGCGAAAGAATAAATCAGCGCAAACTAAAATAAGCGAAGTTTTTTTCCGCGAAAAAATTCTCATAGCGAAAGTACATTGGAGCGAATAGCGAAAACCAAAACAGCGAAATTTTTGATAACGAAAAATTTATTTCTAAGTAAATAGACGATAAAGATCAATAAGATTCAAGAAATAAAGAAATATATCAGACAGATACGAAGTAATATCAATAAGACCAGATAAAAAAATAAACTATAATTATGAGAAGTTCAAAGTGATTTTGTAGAACGTTTAGCAACAAGTGTAGATAGTCCATAGAGAAAGTCAGTTAAAGTAATTTGTTCTTGTTCGTATTGTTCAGTTAGTGTATCAATTTGCTTTCGACTAATACAGATGTTACAAGTTTTTTTTTGAATACCAGCATTTAATTTTCCTAACTGTTGACAAAATAATAATTCTTCCGGTTTTTGACATTCAAAAAAATGCCACACGTTAGGATGATATTTTTCAACTCGATTATTGAACCTGTTGTGCCACGCTAAATAATAAACGAAAAAAATATATTTGATGAAAAGAAAAAAATGTTACATTTACAGAAGTTGTTAGTACGAAAATCCACGTTCGACACATTCCAGTATTTTATCGATATACGTTTCAACCACTGCTTTTCATAATAAGTAAAAAATTCAGTAAGTGCTTTAGGTGAATCATTTTTAAGAACTTCGTAGGCTTCTTCTACATATTCAGGTGGAACTAAAGCGAGCGCCATAGTGCTTCGACAAGCTAAACGTATATCTTCATCTTCAAGTTAACTAGTCGAAAAACCCAGTAATTGAATATTTTTATACAATGACTGACAATAATGAAAAAACCAACCATGGTGAATAGCTGTTGGAAACTAAGAAAAAAAAATGAAGCTAATGATAGACTTGGACTAAACGAACTTTTTGTGTAATAGTCTTGATCAAGGACATTTCAAAGTCCGACATAATATGTTTCAGATTGAACTTTATCTTTAATCGATCAGCATGACTACTAAGTTCAGAAAATAATTGTCGATAAATATCTGTAGATTTGCCCGAGAGAAGACTAATGACACATGGAAAATCTAACGAAGAAAGAGAGAAACCAGAAAGTTTGATCAAGTTTATAAATTTACTTTGATTGAATTTTAAACAATGAATTGTATAAATTTGCTGAAATTGTTCTGGACATGAATGAAAAGTACCATCCAAGAAGATCCATTCAGATGAGAATAGCGTTTCAAGTTGTGTATCAGTAGCAAAAAGAATCATTCGTGTTTTTTTAATGATCTTGTCCGTACACACAAACTGTGTACCATCAAGAGTTTGAGAATAAAATTCAGGAATATCAAATTCTGTTGATGTTGGTATAGTTGGAGTTGTTTTTCGACGAACACGATTAAGACCAGATTCTATGTAATACGGACAAAAATTAGAGATTTCGGCTAACCAAAAACTTACTTCCTGCAGTAGCAGTAGATGCAAGTGTTAAAGCGGTAGAAGAAAGATTAGAACGAGCTAATTCTTCTTTGTATATCTGAGGTATAGAACTTGTTTCAGTTTTTACTCTTTCTTTGACTTTTCTTTTTAAATTTCTAAGTTCAATTTGTTTAGGTTCAGGCATATGATGATGCTGACCATTAGATTTAATGAAATGATCATTTTTGTCTGTGTGAACATTAGCTACACAGCCATCCGAATGACAAGCCCAATACTTTACTTTCATGGTTGATTTTTTAAGCCGAAAAATATATCCTGAATAAATTAGCAAACGTTTGCCTCGATTTGAAGTGGTGAAAGAGATCGATGTCGAATCAGTCATGTTTACTAAGTTCAAGAAAATAATAAAATGATGTGCGTAGTATGGACTGAACCCATGGACGAAAGAGAGATATACTAGAAAGAAAGAAAAACATAGTCGAATAACACGCTATTTGGTCAGAATAGAGAAAAAGGGGTAAAAGGCGTTACTTTTGGATGCACACCACATGGTGGGTCATCATTATATAAAGATAATTTGAGCTATTGAAGGAAAAAATTCGCTGAAAGTACTTTCGCGAAGTTATCTTTCGCTATATTTGGCATTCGCTGTCAACCTTTTCGCTATTTTGTACTTTCGCTATTTGACTTTTCGCCATTCTACATTTTCGCTGTTTTTTTTTTCGCCCAAAAAGCCATTCGCTGAAATGTTTTTCGCTGAACGGACACCGGTTCATCGAGGTCCCTAACACATAGAATGCTTTTGAAGTGATTCTCCTGGGAAGCACTCAAATATGTTCCCTCGTGAGTTTATTTTACAGCAAGAATATTCTTCTCTCAGTATTCGCTATTTTTTCAGTAAATTTTCATGTAAATAACATCATTTTGTTATGCATCGAGAAGATATGATTTCATATCAATAAGATGATTCAATACCTATACATGACATTCTCACTTGAAAATCAATTTCTTTTAATCTACTCTTTGAATGAAGATAACTTTATATACTGATGAGTGAACCTCTTCAAAAGGAATCTTCTATTTGAGCTCATTTTTTCGTTCGTAAGCAGGATTCATAGTTTACATTAGAATCCTACAAAATGTTCGTCTCATTAGAACTTCCTTCTTAATTTATAGTAATTTCAATAAGTTTTCAGCATATTGACGGATGATACGAAAATAACACAATTAAAATTTTTCGTCTGAAATTTTCCTAAATAAAAGATCTCATAGTATTTATTATATCCTTCACGTTTCAGCTAAAATGTCTGCTTTCTCTATGACGTAATACACCTCCAAAAAATGTTATTTTCTTGCGAATTCTCCCAAAATATCTCATTTGTTTTAGATATTTCATATCTTAAGAAAAGCTCGTCCTTTTGAGCTAATTTGTGTCATCCTTCAATATGCTAAAAACTTTTTGAGATGATAATAAATTGAGAAGAAAATTCTAATGAGATGAATATTTTAACGATTTTCATCTAAACTTTGAGTCCTGTTTACGAGTAAAAAAAAATGATTATTTTGATTGACATTATTGATCGTATCGTTAACCCAATAACTTCACACATTTTTATAAACTTGCTTGATTCTAGAATGTTTCGTGTGTAGAGAGTTCTTCCTCTTTTTTTCTGCAAAGTATCAGAATGGGGCAGATATAAGTTTCGAACTTCAGTTATATCTACTATTTCTTAGCAACTCCAGCACTGAAAAACACATGACTGTGAATATATAATTTTGATTTTAGTTCTCATACCGATACTACCGAAACACCACTACCAGGTAAGTCAAATGAATATAGATGTTTTCTAAGAAAGTAAGATTTGAGAATCATACTAAATTTTACAGTATATTAACATAACTAGAATAATCTTTAGTCATCGATCTGTCTTGCGTAATCCGATGTTGGATATGTCATCTATATATATAATGTTAAGTGTGTGTGTTTGTGCCTGGTCAAAGATCAAATAAGACTCAGGAGGAAGGTCCCAAGGAGCATTATATGGGTGCCCTTAGGCCTTCAATGGCTATTATATGGAGCACCTATGGATCCTTAAGGGATATCCTATGAGGAGTACGCATAGGTCCTCACGAATTATTATATGAGGATACTCATTGGTCCTCAAGAGTCATTATATTGGGGAACCTATAGGTTCTGAAGGGCCATCCTATGGAGATATGCCATAGTCTCTCAAAGGCTATTATTTGGGGTACCCGTAGGCCCTGAAGGGAGTAAAACAATAATGGGATAATGCTACAAGAATGAGAAGGGGGGGGGGGGGTATAAGGCTATAAGGCCGAAAGCTAATGAAGTATGAAAGTATGTGTCATATAAGAGTATGAAGCCGTAGACTATCTATATACATAATGTGGAGTGTCTATATGGCTCTTACTGTGTGAAAGCTTAAAGCTTTGAGGTCGTACATTAAAGGAGAAAACAGTCGTGTAGTATGCATGGGCTCACACTAGTATATTAATAAGATCTGAACTGTTGAACATTATGACATTGAGTATTCATATGAATGTAGTGCATACTTTATTAGTTATTTACAGCTGATTACTTATTACTAGACTTCATATTCAGCAATCTATCATTCAGATTTTGAAGATTTGAATTGCTATCCTAACATATCCTTTTATGTATGATTGATAGCAGAAGAGTTCATTGATTTCTAATGAAACTTATTCCAATAGATTGAAGTCTGATAATCAAATCGAGAACTTCTCAAATGATAAGAAAATATAAATTGAAGGCTTTTTTATGTGATGATTTGAAGGAAGGATTATTTTATAAATGTTAAGTCTTCTATTTGAAATGTTTTCTTGTTGCTAATGTACTTGAAGATCTTCATTGTATTCAAGTTTTGAATAAATAGTCGCCATAATTGAGTCTTGAATTTTTGGTAAAGCTAGCAGTATGACAACACTAGAATGCAAAAGATTCACTTCGTAACTTCATTTCTTTCACTGTTTATGATTGATTTTGACTTTTTCAATGAACATTTGTCCAGTTATCTATGTTGTATGACCTATCAATAAAATAAATTGGTTGAAATTCTTTCATTTTCTCTTGATAGGATACAAGTTCATCATGATAAACTTTAGATATCTCACATTTTCAGTTACGTGAAAATATTCTTATCTATTCTACTATTCATACCTACTTTCTACTTTCACGACTCAGACTGTAGAAGGATAAAACAACTATGCGTATCTTTAAGAAGACTTACAATATCAATATAATTTTGAAATCTACGAGGCAATAGTATAAGTAACATCGATTTAGAGTTGATTTCCTACATCCGTTGGTTGCAAATCTTAGAAAAAAATTCGACTAGACATATGAAAATTAAATGATACCATGAATAGTTTTCTTTGTGTATTTTGAGTAACAGTGTGATACAGATAAAAGGATATAAGCATTTACCTGAAACTCTTAAAAGTAGCTAGATAAAAATCAAAAGTACTGAGTTTTTTCTAGTAAACAATCATTATCGAACGCACAAGATGCTCAAAAAATTGTTCAGAACATCGTTTAGGAAATATTCATTGAAAATTATGTAATATTGACCGTTGCTTAATTGCTACATGAATTGATACTTCCACCTGTTCTCTTTCGAACACTTATAATGAAAGATCAATAATTATTTCAATGTCTTAGCTATTTTCAATACAACAAAAAACATTCTTTCTGAATATAAATGGTTATAAAGATTAAACCCTTAGAACATATTTTATCGGCATATAAATTTGGAGTACATCATTTTAGAGCTTAGATATCCAGATGGTAGTCGATATCAAGGTGAGCTCAAAGATGGTAAAAGACACGGTTATGGTGTTTTTTATTATCATAATGAGGAGGAATACATGGGGGAATGGTCGAATGATCAAACCAATGGAAGAGGAATTCGTACATTTCCAGATGGTAGTCGATATGAAGGAATGGAAAAAAATGGAAAGAGACATGGGTCCGGTACATATTATTTTGCTAATGGAAATATTTATGACGGAGAATGGATTGATGATAAACAGGACGGAATAGGAACATTTACAATGCCAAACGGTAATCAATATCGTGGACATTTTGAAGACAATTTAAGACATGGTTATGGTAAAATGAAATATGCCGATGGCAAAATTAAAGAAGGATATTGGGAACACGATAAATTTATCGATCAATCTTACAATGGAAGTGTTTGTGCTGTAATTTAAAACGATGGCACATATTCGGGTCAAATGAAAGCTCTCACCGCCAAACTAACAAGGTTAAAATATTAGCGGCTGTTGGCTTGCCTAGAGGGAGATATTTAAATTTTAAATTTAGGTATA